TGTGTGTGTGTGTGTGTGTGTGTGTGTGTGTGTGTGTGTGTGTGTGTTGTTAAGTCTCTGTGTTCCTGTCTTGTCCAGTCCCGGCCTCTGGGTCGCGCTGCTAACAAAGCAGACCAGCGAGTCAGCGAGCTGCAGGTTCTGATCGAGGAGCTCCAGTGGGACATGGAGAAGATCCGCCGCAGAGAGAACAGACTGAATGCACACCTGATCGAGATACTGGAGAGGGTGAGGATGCTCTCCGTGACAGTGTTGTGCATATGTTCCTGTTATATTGAGGCGTCTTATAACACTCCCTATAATGCATCCCAGGTGAACAGCAAAGGTTATAAGGTGTGTGGGGAGGCCAGCAGCGTCTGTGGGACCATCACTATCAACAAGAGAAAGGTACGAATTTAATTTAATGATTAAGACAAAGGTGTGATTTTGTAGCTTTTCTGTCAATGCCTTACTTTCCACACTTTTTGACTTCTCTCCTGTCAAGTTTGAAGAAATGAACAGTGATATGGAGGAAAACACGGAGCTGGCAGACAACCGCTTCGTTGAGCTGCAGAAGCTCCAGCAGGACCTTCAGAGTGTGCACCAGGAGAACAACAACATGAAGGTGGACTTGTGTTTATCACACACCATTCTTTTGACTCCTTAATGGATCACCTTATTCTTACACCTAGAACTTAAATTCGCTGCTTTGAAGAGTACAAAAAGAGGGACATTCAACCAAAAGGATTCTTTGAAAAAATAGTGCCTCCGTGTAAATGTTTACCTAGAAATCTCCCTGTTGAACCTTACAAAAGCAAGTCAGTACTTTGTTGTATTAAATATTTAGTATTTCATTGGCTTCTGCCTCTCTTCCTCTCAGGCGGAGCTGCTGAGTCGAGCAGCATGCTTGGTAAAAGAGACTGCTGAGTATCGCTGCCTGCAGTCCCAATTTTCTGTGCTCTACAACGAGTCTCTGATTCTCAAGGCTCAGTTAGATGAGACGCGCGCTCGTCTCAACACTACTAGGACATCAAGGCTTCGACAGCTGGAGCACATGGAGGTAAGTGTGTGTTTTGTGTATGTTGTGTGTGTGTGTGTGTGAGCGTCCTTTTCTTACTCTCATCCCCTCCTGTGTGCAGAATGATGAGGTGGCTCTGCAGAGGAAGGTTCGTACAGAAGTCTTTCAGCTGGAGGACACACTGGCTCAGGTCAGGAAGGAGTACGAGATGTTGCGCATCGAATTTGAACAGACTCTTGCTGCCAACGAGCAAGCAGGTAACTAACAGAACCGGGGTTACATTAGGTGAATTAGGTTTGTGCATGATTTGTGCTGAACATGCTTTATATCTTAGATTCACATCAGCACCTCGCTGACAAACTAACTAGGTTCACATTCCTAATCCGACCTTCATCTCTGCCGGCCTTTTCCGCTCAGGCCCTATCAACAGGGAGATGCGTCACCTGATCAGCACGCTACAAACCCACAATCAGCAGATGAAGGGAGAAGTGGTGAAATTCAAGATCAGACTGAGAGAGTCACAAACTGAGCTCAACCAGGTAGGTCACCTCTCACCAGCTTGTGGAATTAAATAGTTCAGGTTATTTTCACAGTAACCCATCTGATTGGTTTAGTATTGTAAAGTACAACCGCACATCACACATAAACACATTCATCTGTTGCCTCTTTAGGTCCGCGCCTCAAAGGGAAACGCCATCCTCCAGTCCCAGTCGAGCACAGAGATGGACGTGAAGGATGAAACAACCTCTCCTTCTACACCAGCCCTCTCTGGAGAACCTGTGGTCAAGACAGAGACCGACAACGGCTCCTCCACACCCAGCAGCACTGGTAACGCCAAGATGGCCGACAATTTATTTTTACTGATTTCCCAGTGTCCTTATGATACTTATTCAGACATATTGGGATTGTTCTGATTGACAATTACTCCTTCGCTGTTATTTATTTTTCTTTTCTTTAGGAGCCTCTGTGAAAACGGAGCCCGGAGTTGAACCTGAAGCAACAGTAAAAGAGGAGGAGAAAGAGAAGGAGGAAAAGAAAGAAAAGGACATTGTAAAGAAAGAGGAGAAAGAGCGGGAGAAGGAAAAGGAGAGAGAGAGGCCGACTCGCGGCGGTGGGAGCAGCAGTGTGATGAAGGAAGAGAAGGACAAACCAGGGAGCAGCAGCCAGCCTGAGGAGTCAGCCGGGGAGCGCCTGTCTGTGGTCGGAGGCTCGAAGAGGAAGGAGATGGAGCAGCTGAAGATCGTCCGAGCTGAACTCAAGTAGGCTGCACGTGTGGAAGTTGGTTATTTAAGTGGATGTTGGTTTTTGTAACCTACCAAACAGAATAGTTTTGTTAAAGACTCTTCGTCCACTGTGCAGGAAAGCGCAGGAGTCCCAGAGGGAGATGAAGTTGCTGCTGGACATGTACCGCTCAGCACCAAAGGAGCAGAGAGACAAAGTCCAGCTCATGGCTGCAGAGAAGAAGTCCAAGTCTGAGGTGATCAACACTGCACACTGTAGAAGTTGTTGTGTGTGTGTGTGTGTGTGTGTGTGTGTGTGTGTGTGTGTGTGTGTGTCAGTCCCATATTAACAATGCTGATTCCAGGGAGAGGAGCTGCGGCAGAGGCTGAGGGAGCTGGAGGAGAGGGAGAGGAGGGAGGGCAAGAAAATGGCAGACGAAGAGGCTCTGAGGAAGATCCGCTCTGTGGAGGAGCAGATTGATATCCTCAACAAGAAGCTCTCTATAGCAAAACAGGTGTGTGAGCTGGTCATTGTATAACTATACACAAACAAAACCCTCCTTTTTTATTTCTCTAACACTCTTATCGCCTCCACTGCTCCCTCTGCAGGAGGAGGACGCGCTGCTGAGCGAGATGGACGTGACGGGCCAGGCTTTCGAGGACATGCAGGAACAAAACATTCGCCTGATGCAGCAGCTCAGAGAAAAAGACGACGCCAACTTCAAGCTGATGAGCGAGCGGATCAAGTCCAACCAGATCCACAAGCTGCTAAAAGAGGAGAAGGAGGAGCTGGCCGACCAACTGCTCACTTTAAAAACTCAGGTGAGCCACCAGGCAGCACCGTGAGGGGCGATGTGCAAGTTTGAACACGCGGGTGTTGAGATACAGTTAAATGTCAGTGATCCCCACCGGCAGTTACTTTGATTGAAGGCTCGAGGGATTACATTGAACCATTTTCATTCTTCAAATAAAATGGCTTGTCAATAAATAGAAGTTGAAATAAAGTCTACACAGTACACATTTTGCTCTTCACTATTGCTTTTTTGTGTGTCTGCTTCTACTTGTTTTCTAAATTTCTGGTTTGTCATAATAATGCTTTTTCTCCAAAAATCACATTTGTCTTTTTTTCTTAAATCTTTATTCACCGTGATGATTTTCTTTTGTCAGGTTGATGCCCAGCTGCAGGTGGTGAGGAAGCTCGAGGAAAAGGAACGTCTTCTGCAGGGCACCATCAGCACTGCTGAGAGAGAGCTGGCACTTCGCACACAAGCTTTGGACATGAATAAACGCAAGGTAACGCATCGTTCAGTAACCAGGAGCCACATCTGCAGAGTTAAATGAGGAGTGAAATGAAACTGTAATGACATTTAGATATGCGCAGTTGTTCCTAAACACACATTCAGATACTATACACAAAGGTACAGTATGAGAAGAAAATGCATTACCACTAAGGTTAAAATAACAACATCTGTCTGTCGTCCTCCAGGCCCAGGAGTCTGCGTTGCTGTCGGAGGAGATGCGAACTCAGCTGGAGCAGGTTCAGCAGAGACTCAACCTGGTCAGAGAGGAAGTCATAGAGAACAGCATCTCCAGGGAGAAGGAGTCCTTTAACGCTCGACGAGCACAGGTATCAATATACACAAGTACACTCAAGCCATACAATGTCAACAAGTGCATGGACTTAAAAGACAAGGCATTGTCCCAACACACAATTACATTTGTTTAAAACATATTGGCAACAATTGTCTTAAATTGTAGTTAACACAGGAAGAACAAATTACTCTTTTGACTGTCATAAGACTTATGGAATGATTCTTTCTCAGAATACTCTGTTTTCTAACGACAAATTAGCTTTGTGGATGGACAGAAACCCTATGCATTCACATGATGGGAAGTTCCAATATCTTGCTCAGGATTATTGTGGTCATAACCTCGGATGTCATAACAGACTCTTTACTTCCAGCTGTTAACTCTGACCGTGTTTCAGGAGGACATCTCCAAACTAAGGGGAAAGATCGAGAAGGCCAAGAAACCAGCTGAGAAAATCAGCAATGGAGACGATATCCTGAATGAAGAAATCAATGATTATAAGGTAAGTTTCTGTGATACAAACAATATTTTTTTTCTTTTTTCAATCCTGTTTTCGCTTCTGCTTTTGGAAAGTCAAAGAGATTTTTTGTGTGACTGTTGCATTCATAAGAGCATTTTACACCACCACACATTTTGTGGAATACACTAACCCGTTTTCACATTAGAAGATTTATACTTTCATGTCTGTATGCTAAATATTAAGCTATAGCTAGCAGCTGGTTAGCTTAGCACAACGACTGGAGACCGGGCAAACAGCTAGCCGGCTTTGTCCAAAGGTAATAAAATCCACCAGCATTTCTAACGTTCATTAATTAACATGTCATAAGACTTTTTCTTGGCTGTGAGCAGTTGCAGGGAAACACACACAGACTTCAGTCCACCCCCAGTAAAACCTTCTTGTCTTTGTTCTTCCTATTTACCCTAAAGACATAAGAGTGGTATCAATCTTCTCATCGAACTCTGCAAGAAAACAAATAAGTGGGGCTCTCAGGGCTCTGTTGCTCTTGTAAGATAGATAGATAGATATGTACTTTATTCATCCCCAGGGGGAAATTTGTAAAATTGTAAGTCGGCAGCTTCACTGAATGAACCAGAGTAATCTGTATCACTGTGGATTCCAGCAAAGAGACTAACTGCCAGTGTGATCACACCGTTTTGACAGGAACACGCACTTAAAATTCCGACCAACTGTGCAAAGACTCAACAACACACATTAGAAATAACTAACTTTTGCAAATAGTAGTTTGTGTAGTCGATGTCCATTTAGCTTTCTGCAGCTCAAAATGGATCCTGCTTTTTGGATCGTGATTTTTTTAACAGGTTTGGTCGTAAAAGGGGAAGTGGTTTGACATCACAAGTGCTCCAAATGCTCTGATGTGCACTGCCATACCACAAGATTTGTGGGTCAACTGTTCTCTGTACTCTGCATGGTCTTAAGAATCCTTCAAGGCCACATTCGGAGCTATAATCAGCCTTTCATATCATGTGATGTGTTCCTGAAATCAGTGTAGCTGCTGAAGGGCAGTTGAGCTGGAAGATATTTGTGTCCACTCATTCAAAACCACTCAGCTCAGAACAAGAATGGCTTTTCAGTTTATTCTTCAAACCTTTTCCTCCCCCCCCCTCTCTTTCCCTCCCTCTCCCTCCCTCCCCCCCCCCCAGGCACGCTTAACGTGTCCGTGCTGCAACTCTCGGGTGAAGGATGCGGTACTGACAAAGTGCTTCCACGTCTTCTGCTTCGAGTGCGTTAAGACGCGCTACGACACACGCCAGAGGAAGTGCCCCAAGTGCAACGCCGCCTTCGGAGCAAACGACTTCCACCGCATATACATCGGCTGAAGCCGCGTTTCCCTCTCCGTGGATACTAGCAAGGAAAATGCTCAACAAGAAAAGCAGTCGTACAAAAAGGTGCCTGGGAGTGAGACTCACCACTGCGCTCACATATCTGCTCTGAACATGTACCTCCTCCTCTGCTCCTGTGTGTACAGGACACACCATCAGTGTGATATCTCCAGATCATTCCAGCTTTGCAGTGATGCTCTGAACTGAACGCTTTCATATTTTATTTTTGTTAACACTGACTGAGTTTGGCTTCTGCCATCCAGTATCTACTACTTGACTGTATGTTTTCAGATACTGGTGCAGAGGAAAGCTTCTGCGAGTTTGTATCACATGCTGAGTGTTGTGTGTCTGTGTGGTAGGTTGTGTGTGTGTGTGAGTGAGTGAGAGTGAGAGTGTGTGAGTGTGTGAGTGAGAGAGAACAAACCAGAATACAAAGAAAATATGAGTACAGTGAGAAAACAGTACAGCTGATGTTTGCATAATGTTGGTGCGTGCGTGTGTGTACATACTGTGTAGTGATTGTTTAAATTTTTTTTTTTATGAAAACTTCTTGCCCCAAAATGTTCTGAAATCTCTCAAATCTGACTTGATGCTGTCTGTTAGTTATTAAAGTGACATCTGAACTGTCCGGCTTCTGCTTCCATCTCACTTGTTTTTCGGTCACTAATTCTTATGAAACCCGCTGTGAGTAATCTTAACATTTGACCTGTGAGTGGTGAACCACAATTCCCAGTGTGCAAATCTCTGTTCATCCGTGTGCAGAGAGCCTTCCTCCTCCACCCCTCCTCTTCCTCCTCCCTGAACATCAGACGTGTTTGCATAGCCTACTGGAAACTCGTCAGAAACGCTGGAAGGAAAGGGAGCGCCGTGTTTTGAAGGCTGTGCAACAGAATCCATCGAGAGATTTGATGCAAGCTCGGAGACAAAGAAACGCCAAACTTGACTGTAGAGGAGCTCGGAGCCGAAGAAAGAAGCTTTAGGAGACTCGTGGTCCCCAACGTCACCGCGGTTCTACTGGTTTCTTTCACGCGCAAAGCTTCAACAGAAAACTTCCGAAGACGTTTCTATATATATATATATTTTTTTTTTAATTACTTTCTGCTGCATCTCGACGGACTGTTGAGTATCTCGGTCGCTGCTGGATCTTAAGCCTTTAACGGGTTCTTACCAAATATAGCCGCTGTTAATGCTGGCGTGTCCTTGACGGAGCTGAGCGGTCCTAAATTGGATATTTCCAGCGCTGCCAAAGTTTATAATTAAATTCTCAGATATTTTTGAGTCACTACGCAATACATTTAGTCTAATTTGCTAATTGCACGCTTGAATCAGTCGGTGTGTTCATTTGAAGCTGGCGCGGTTCTTGCCCTGCCTGTCGTGAGCTGCAGCGTGTTGGTGTGAAAGAACCCGCTCTGTAGCCGATGCCTGCTCTCTACAGAAGCCATTTTTAAGTCTTTGATTTACAGTCATTGAACACGAGCTCTGCTCTGGGCTGCAGCTTTAACCTGTGCACATACATTATTTTAGCACCTATCTTTTATCCCCCTATTGTTCTCAAATCCTCAACAATGACTTTCTGTGCGTCTGGCTCTGGGCGCGGAGGGTGTGCCACGGCTCGGTTTTTCCTCACCACCTATGTGGCAGTGCTGGTGCTCGGCTGGACTGGAGCTGAAGCTGAGCAGGCCAAGCCGACCGGGGACAACCCACCGACGGTCACTCTCGGTACTCTGATCACCGGAACCTGCCAGGCGCTCCAGCGGTACGCGGAGTCAGTGGTGGGAAGCGGTGTGATCCGGTCAGCTGCTGAGGTAACGTTACAGAGAGGAGGTGCACCGCTGCTTGATAGCAACGATGTCTCTCCGCCAGGAAGTGGCTTTACACTCTCCTCTTTTTCTCAATTTTTAACGTCCTAGTTTCCCGGATGTCTAACTGTTTGCTCTGTCACTGTTCTTGATCTATAACTGTAAACTAATTTTCAACTCCAACCCTGTCATCTCTCTCCATCCTCACCCTTCACACATTCCTCTCCCCATGCCCCTCAACTTGTTAATCCCTCCCCTGATCCCCTCATCTTCTCTGCCCTCGTTTCACGTCTTCATATATCCATGCCCCCCCCAACCCAACCCCTCACTCATACACTTTTCTCCCTCCCTGCTTCCACTCGGCTGTGGTTCCCTTTCCCCCAGCGTGCAGTGTTGTTTCTTGAATCAGTGCTTGGTCAGGAGAACGTCTATAAAGTGGCCATGGTAAGAAACCTTCCTGGGTGTCTCCATCTAGCCTGCTCTGACATGGTCCCTTAAACAGAGGCCTCTCTTGTGGCTCCGTTTGGTCCATGTCACCTTAGAGTTAGTGCAGACAGTAGGAGCATGACTGTAGTGACGCTGTGGCTTCATCTGTGTTTCTATACAGTGGTAATTGCATGAAAGGCCACGATATAGTCCTTGTGAGCTTTGAAGTGGTAAACAGTAGGCTGAAGTGGTTCAACATGGCTCAGGTGGTAGCTCTGAACTCAAAATATAGGGTGTGTACATGATCCTTTAGATGAGAAATTCATATCTAATGAGCCCCGAACTGAAATAGTGTTATTCCATGTGAATTTGGTTTTACATGATTCTGTTTCCAGTAAGAAAAAACAGTTTAAAAGGGGAATAAAAAATAATGTAATAGTGATAAAATGTAATCCTCAGGGTAAACGTTAGTCAAAAGATCTGCACACCGCACTGATATTTCCCAATAATGTAACGGAGCAACATTTCTTTTCAACAAGGTGTTTGACAGGCATCTCATAACGTTGCTTTGTTGAATTCACTGGGAGCTGCCAGGACGTTGTACAGATCTTTTGTCTAACTTTTGCCTCCAGTTTTTTTTTTTATCCACCTGTAAAAGTCTTTTGGATGTTTCTGCTCTGCACGGTCTTCAAATGTTAATCAAATAAGATGCATTAATATGAGATTACATCAACTCAAATAAAACTAAAGTGTTGTTTCGGACTTGTATCTCTGACATACTGGACAGTTCTCACGTATGTGCCAGTGTGCAGTGCAACAGGTGCAGATAAGATACTTGTCCAACTTACTGGACTACCCATGACCTTGCCTGATGAGGCTACGCTGTGTATGTTTGTGTGTGCAGTGTGATTTTGGGGGGGGTTGTGAGCAGCAAAGACTGTACAGGAATAGAGAGAGGGTGTCCAGCTGTCACTCACATGCACAACTTTGTCCAAGTCAACAATACAGCACTTCTTCTATCTTAAGGTGCAGCTAAACAGCAGTACCATCTAAATGAGTTCGGCTGCAGTGAATATCACACCTGTTGGTGTAAATATACCAGAATTATACTCTTATCTGCCTGTGCATTGGAGCCATGAGAATAAATCTAGGCAGGCTGTGTTTCTGTAAACCGATCTGTGTTTTCTGCATGATTATTATGACAATGCTGCCTTTCTTCATAGTTGTCTTGTGTGATAACAAAGTCTCCACCCTCCCTCCACACCACCACAGTTTTTTGAGATGGTGATCCGATTCCTTGCTGAAGGAGCTGCCAGCGGCCTGAACGTCATCGCCGTTTACGTCACAGAGATCCTCCGGGTCACAGGATTCGATGGTGGGTGTCCGGATGGCCCGAATTTATGTGTGCTTAGGCTTTGCTGCTCAATACACTTTTTGCCTCCTGTATGTGGAGCTTTCTGCAAATAGTTTACAAGAGTAAGATAGGATCAGTGACAATGAAAGTTTGAAGTGAAAATATGCAGACGTGCCTCTCCCTCAGGCAATTTGTGTAGCCACTCCTTTTATAGTATGAATGTTTGCTCCTGTTACTTCCTAACAGACGGGTATCTGCAAGCCTTATTCTTCGAATGACATTAAGCCTAAACTGGATTTCCTCCCTCCACAGTTGGACTGACGTCGCCCCTCTTCACTCCAGAGGGCGTAGCCGCCATTGCCCAGTGGGGTCTCGTGGCCCTGATTGGCTACTGGGTGCTGACCATCGCTCTCCGTCTGCTGATCGGCGTGGTCAGGCGGGTGTTCTGGGTGGTGAAGACCATCTTGGCGCTCTGGCTTTTTGGACTGATCGTGACCGACAAGCATGCCGCTGCAGACACCACGGCGGTTCGACTGGGCGGCCTGGTGCTGGCATATGTCCTGTTGACTCTGCTCACTTCTTGCTCTGAAAAGACTTGTGCAGTGGAGCACCGGCTGAGCTCCCTGGAGGGCCGGGTGAAGGTAGTAGAGAAGAGGAAAGGGGAATAGTGGGCTGTATAGGGTTCGAGGGGAAGGAGTTACAGATGGACAACGGTGATGGTAATGTCGGTTATGAAAACAGTAACATTGATGGTTTCTGTATGCGTGTGTCAAACTATATGGGAAATAAAGTAACCTCTGGGATTTTTAATCGGAAATGTTCTTTGTATTGCCTAAAAGAAAATGCCTAAATTATGAAAGCTCGTGGAACATTTTTACTATAATAAATAACTGTAATCAAAGACGCAAAGGTAGTAAAAGGCTGCAACAGCAAGATGATTGAATAATACAAGTCCGATCGGAAACTGTATATGTTCTGTATTGTCTTTTCCACAGTCGTATCATCACAGCAAAATTTCACAGAGTTCTTTAATTTAAACGATGTCAGCATGACATTCTCACAATGACAAAGTTAACGTGCTGATTTTTATCTGGGAATGTTTACCTTGTTGTTCACCATCTTAGTTTAGCGGGCCAGCATGCTAACATTCATAAACATTCATAAACCAAAGTATTGAATAAAATTAAAAATTTGAACCGATGGTGGACTTGGATAAAAAAAATTGTGTGTGTGGGGGGGGGGGGTCATTAGGATTAATTCTATGGCCACCATTTATATGTACCAAATGTCATGGAAATCCATCCAATAGTTGAGTTTAGCTTTGTCAGGGAAACTGGAACAATCCGGTACCAAGCAGTCATCTACTTCTGTTTTAACTCGCCACATTCAACCCAGGCTGACTGGTGGCCTGTTTACAGCCTCTTAAGTCCCCATGTGCCTGGTTGGTTCCCTGCTGCTCATTTAACTTGAAACCGCCTTGATCCTCCGAGTTCACTTCAATGGTTGTCGCTCCAGCTGAGTGGAACAACCTGACCTCGGCGCCAGAATAATCATTCCTGCTCGCTCACTCTGCAGCAGTAAAACTCACTTTCCTCCTACTCTTTGCTGTGCTGGAGTCGGCCAGATATGAATCCACGGTGAAACTAACTCACAGTGTCACCACCTCGCTGCATCAACACAAAGACACAGAGCTGATTCTAGACTGAAATACATTATTGTAAAAGTAAAATACCAAATATGAGAAGAACACAGTTTGTGTAACTGGAGCCTTTTACTTTAAAGCTGTAATGAGTATCTTTACAATTACAATGGATCAAATAACTGTTTAATGTGGTGTCTATACGGAAGTGGTAACTATATGGAAGCTCCGTATAGTTTCATTTCCCTCAGAAGCAAGTGGAGATCCAAACCGAGCTAAAAGAAAGACGTACACTGATGTGGCCAGAAACACAACCAAATGGATAATGTTGCTCCAGGTCATGTTGAACGTGTAAATAAGCAACTGTTCGTTATCAACAACTTAAAATGTGAAAATACAGTATGTGGGTGTTCTGCTCACAACTTGTTTCGACGGCCTCCATGTGGCTAAAAACCAACAGATAAGCAATGCTGGATTGAACTGTAGGTACAAACTGGATTTGTCCTGTTTGGGGAAAAAAAAAAAAAAAAGTTGTAAAATAATTTTGCTGCTAGAATTACATAATGTCGTTTAGAGGTGTAGCCTGTTGTTCCCAAGTGGAGCGCAATCCACTGTCATCTACAGCATGGATAAGATCCGACTAAACTAAACATTCTTCATATGAAGCATCACGTACTAGTCCAAAGATTATGACTATTTCTGTATGTCAACACCAATAAGATGTCCGTTTGTCAGAGTCCCAGCTGTGACCGTGGGGGAGCCAGCGTCTGTCGCGTCATTAGTGTTTCCGGTGAGTGAAGCGCAACCTTTCTTTATGAATGAAACACCATACTTACTGTTACATTTCAAATACTTTTCATTAAAAAGCGATCGGAGTTAACGTACCTTGGTGCATACTGTATCGTTGTAAACATGTAAAAAGATCGCTAACGCTGACCTCGAAGAGAGAACAGCGCATAGCGCGGTGACGCGTTAAAGGTTCATTGCGCTTATATTGTTGACATTTCAGCCAATACGTTAAGTATGGTGAACACAGTTTTAACCGATTGTGTTTTTTTAAATAAACATGTTCAGTACGTTTATGGTGATAATTAAATTCCCATTCATGTTTAAGGTGGAACATATTAAATTATGTCTAACAAGGGGTTAAAATGTATATGTTACAGGATACAACGTGATAAAAAAAAGGAACAGATACTAACATACCAATAGTTATAGATGGTGATATGTCTCATTGTAAATTAAGTATATCCTTAGTCATTGATTATACAGTATATGATTTTCTGAATGAAGAAAATAAGTGAATGAGGTTTTATCTTAGAAACAGATAATATTATATATATATTATATTTTTTTTTAACTCGCAGTGATGACCTTGGGCGGTCATGGAAGTGATCTGGCCTACCGTAGATTCTGCCCACAGAAGTTGTCTGTATATACATATATATTCTTTATGAAATTTTAAAAAATAGTATTGTGTGCTGGGCATATAATGAAGAGATTTAAGTGTAACCGTAGATCTCAACCTATAATTGAATTATGTGATCAAAAGTAAACTAGATATATGTTGCATCATAAACAGTAAGGCATTATTCCACTGCAGTCCTACTTATAGCACAAGTATGTGGTACACTTAGAAAGATTTTCAGGATCACTGAGGGCAAATATCCAGAAATAAGTGGCATTATCGTGTACACAAACAGATTTATGTCTCTGTAGTTTTTCTCGAGGACACGCAAGGCTTTGTCATATTCTGGCTGAGTTTCCTCTGTGAAACATGGGGTGTGAAGGAATGTATATGCTTGGATGAGCTTTTGGCTGTGTGGTGACATATTGGGTGGGTGGTACTTGTAGTAGCCGTTAAGTGGTGTTGAAGACATGAAGACAGTGGAAAAAAATACAAATACGAACCAAATAGTTTAGTGCTACTAAATTTAATGCACCTGACACAAAGTCCAAATACACAACAATACATACACAAGATGATGACTTGTTTGGCCATACATACATTTTTGAACAACATATCATGTTCTCAAAAAGGCAGTGTGCGTGCGTAAAAGTCCCAAATATATGAATTCAATAAAGTTAAACTTTTAAAGTAATGCACTTACGGTACAATGTTGACATACAAGCAATACAGAGTTGTTTTTATGTGATTGAAAATATGTAATAGGAAAAGGCAACTGGGTCTTGTTATTTATATTTATACAATATGACTTCAACACATATAGATGTGTGTGATTTTCCTGAGCAAATGAAATACAGTAACTATATATCAATATTACTTAACATCTGCAGCTCACTTGAAGTTAATTTTAATTCAGAATCTACACTACAATGCAAACATCAG